GTCAGCCCCGCAAGCTCCAACCATCTGGTTACGCCATTACAACTGCCTCACCTACCCGATGTAGCTGACTTTTTGAAAGAGGAGAAATATAGCTCTGTTCCATCCGGCTCACCGGCGGCCAGTTCAAAGTTACCTCTCTTGTTCCCTGAACATTGCTGTTATCCTATTCTTTTTTTAAGATGCCCAGATTTCATATTGTTCAAACACACATGCTCTACAAACAATCTGTGCAGTTGACTCAATCATCACAGGATCCTGAGGTGACATTCATCCTCCTCAGTTTACAAAGAAGATGACGGGATTAGGAGATTAAGTAAAGACAGGCATAGGAAATCACAAGGATATTCACTGGGGAAGTGATAAGTGTCCATGAAATCTTCACAATTTATGTTCAGAGATTACAGTAAAGATGTTATGCCCAGACCGTTTATTCCCTGAAGAAGACCACCAGAGTCCAGAGTCAAAGCTAAGCAGCAAGGATCTTTATTACAGGTTCGAACCTGGAACTCTCCCTCGCTCGCGAAACGAGACGGGCAGGAGAGCTCCCCCACTGAGCTCCGAGCAGTGTTATATAGTCTAAGAAAAGTGGGCATAGAGTTATTATACAAATCAGATATATGATTGGCTAGTGTTTGAACAAGGCGATTTGGCTAACTATGATTGGTTCCCGCCGTTTCTGATATTTCGGTTCAGCCTTTGAGGTGGGAGAGCAGGTTTATGGCAGCAAGAGTTTATCTTACTTAAACACGTCTTGTGACCTTGCCTCAGAACTTACAAAATCTCTGGTATGTGCAAAACAAAATCTCTGGTACGTGCAGAAAAACAGGTGCTCACAGAACTTACGAAATCTCTGGTATGTGCAAAGATTAGAGAGCAGAACAAAGGTGTAGCGGGGGGGGCGGGTACACATCTATCTTTGTGTCCTTTCAAAGACAGGCGAAAGAAATTATAAAAGTATTAATTTTGGGAACTAATAAATATCCATGAAACCTTCACAATTTATGTTCTTCTGCCGCGGCTTCAGCCAGTCTCTCCGTTCGGGGTCCCTGACTTCCCGCAGCAACAATGAGTGGCTCATGCCTGTTATCCCAGCACTTTGGGAGGCTGAGGCAAGAGGATCGCTTGAGCCCAGGAGGTCGAGGCTGCAGTGAGCCTTGATTGCATCACTGCACTCCAGCCTGAGCGATAGAGCAAGACCCTGTCTCATAAAAAAACAAAGTCCATGGGGTAGGTTGTCTTATCTTAATTTTTCGACCAGAAGAAGGATGCACAGAGAGAGAAAATATTGCCCCAGGTCACACAGCTGGCAAGTAGTAGAGTCAGGGCTCCATCCGAGGCCACCAGGCATCAGAGCCTGCTTTGTGAGTGGCCACTGGCCCCAGGCACAGTGGGTGTCACCTCCTCCTCCTTTACCATACAGAGGCAGAAGCAAGGAACTGCCCTTCTCTGTGGGTCTAATTTTTGAGACCACGGGAACATTTTCTAGAAGCTTCTGGCCAGTCTCTCATCCTCTCTTGTCAGCAGAAGCAGGTGACATATGTTCACCCTATGCCCAGCAATTGTCTAGGGTTGTAGCATTGCCTGAGTTGATCAGAGCAGTGTCTCAGCCCTAGCTGCATACTAGAAACACCTGCAGAATTAAAAAAAACCCATGCCCTGCCCCCTGCCCCCTGCCTCTTTAAATTAGAGCTGCTAATGTAAAGGTTATTTATTTATTTGTTTTTGAGACTGAGTCTCATTCTGTCACCCAGGCTGGAGTGCAGTGGTGTGATCTCGGCTCACTGCAACCTCCACCTCCCAGGCTCAAGTGGTTCTCCTGCTTCGGCCTCCCGAGTAGTTGGGACCACAGATGGGTGCCACCAGGCCCAGCTAATTTTTATATTTTTAGTAGAGAGGGAGTTTTACCATGTTGGCCAGGCTGGTCTTGAACTTCTGACCTCAGATGACCTGCCTGCCTTGGCCTTCCAAAGTGTTGGGATTACAGGCATGAGCCACCGCGCCTGGCCTATAAAGGTTTTAAAATGAGTATTGGGTGAGCTCCTAGACAACATCAAGGCTTGGTCAGCAGGGAGGAAGGAGCAGCAGCTGCTTGCAGGTGGACGCCAGAACTTCTAGTGCCCTCGGATGAAAGCCAGGCAAACAGGCTCTCTGGACTTCTTCTCACTCTCTGGCCATCACATGAACCGCCTTGGTAGCCTCTCCTTCTTCTAGTCACCAGAGAGGTGCTGTTTGCTTACGTATGCCACGCCAGGCTCCGGGGTGGACATATGCTGTCACTTAATTCTCCCACCACCTGCTGCCTGCCTGGGCCACTGCATTAATTGGGATTCTTTTGATTGCAAGTGAGAGAAATACAACTGAAACAATTGTAGGCAGAAAGGGGGATCTTACCATTTTGTGCATTCGTGAGATGGTATGTCTAACTTAGGAACAATCCAAGAATTTCTCCATCTGCTGTAGATGGGCCCATTTCCAAACAATGGACAAAGTCAAAAGTCACAGTAGTTCTGGGTTAATAAGATAGGCTTCCATCCTGGCCACAACCAGAGAGGATGCTGGGAATGCTCTTCCTGGCTGCAGTCTCAGGGAAAGATTCTGATTGGTCCAGCTCAGGTCATGTGCCTCTCGTCCATGGTCAGGGTCTGGGGGAAGATGTGCTAGGGAGACAGACACAGAGACAGCAGCCCTCCTTGCCTGCCTCTGTACAATGGATCTTGACATTGGGAATGTTATGTTATGTTATGTTATGTTATGTTATGTTATGTTATGTTATGTTATGTTATTTTTGAGATGGAACCTCACTCTGTGGCCCAGGCTGGAGTGCAGTGGTGAAATCTCGGCTCACTGCAACCTCCGCCCTCCAGGTTCAAGCAATTCTTCTGCCTCAGCCTCCCAAGTAGTTGAGATTACAGGCGCACGCCATCACACCCAGCTAATTTCTGTATTTTTAGTAGAGACAGGGTTTCACCATGTTGGCCAGGGTGGTCTCAAACTCCTGACCTCAAGTGATCCACCTGCGGTGGCCTCCTAAAGTGCTGGGATTGCAGGCGTGAGCCACTGTGCCTGGCTGACACTGGGAATTTGAGATGAAGTCTTGATGTGTTGCCAGGCTGGAGTGCAGTGCAGAGGCCCGATCTCGGCTTACTGCAATCTCCACCTCCTGGGTTCAAGCGATTCTCCTGCCTCAGCCTCCCAAGTAGCTGAGATTACAGGCGCACACCACCACTAATTTTTGTATTTTTAGTAGAGACAGGGTTTCACCATGTTGGCCAGGATGGTCTCGAACTCCTGACCTCAAGTGATCCACTCGTCTTGGCCTCCCAAAGTGTTGGGATTACAGGCATGAGCCACTGCGCCCGCCGAACTGGGAATTTTAAAATGTCATGAGTTTGTGATCCCTGAGCCCCTCTGTGCTGCACAGTGGCTCTTGTGTTTCTCAATCTTAGGGGTTTTTCTTCTCATTCTAGATGAAGAGCATGAGCGTGGGGGACCCCCGAACCTTCCCCTTCATCGAGCCCCCACCACCAGCCAGCCTGGAGACCGCCATCCTCTACCTCCGGGACCAGGGGGCCCTGGACAGCTCAGAGGCCCTCACGCCCATTGGGTCCCTGCTGGCCCAGCTGCCTGTGGACGTTGTGATTGGTGAGTACCCATCCCCTTCGTGATCACGCAGGGCACCAGGAGCGGGTGTGGGCACAGCTAACTCTCTGAGTGACCTGGGGGCAAGTCTGTCTGTTTCTTCCCTGGGTCCAGTTCATTTATTCACTATTCATTGGGCCAGGCACTGTTCTAGGTGCTGGGCGTATAGCAGTGGACAGAACAGACACAAATCTCTAGCCTCAGGGAGCTGACATTTTGGTGAAGAAAACCAGCAATAAGTTAGGACAATAAGGAAAAGGTATAGTAGATCAGATGGTGCTTAGTGTTCTGGAGAGAAGAAACAACGGGGTTGGGGAATGGGGAGTTGCAGTTTCTAATACAGGCCTCAGGTATAAGGCAGACCTCACGGGGAAGGTAACATCTGTGCAAAGAAACGGAGATGAGGGCTAGGAGCCATGCAAATACTAGAACATGCTTGCCAGCAGAAGCAGAGAAACATGGCCGGCACAGTGGCCCACACCTGTAATCCCAGCACTTTGGGAGGCTGAGACAGGTGGATTGCTTAAGCCTAGGAGTTTGAGACCAGCTTGGGCAAAATAGCAAAACCCTGGTTTCTACCAAAAAAAAAAAAAAAAAAAAAGAAATATAAAAATAGAATGTGAGCCCTGTATGTAATTTAAAACTTCCCAGTAGCTACATTAAAAAAGCAAAAACAGGCTGGGCACAGTGGCTCACGCCTGTAATCCCAGTACTTTGGGAGGCTGAGGTGGGTGGATCACGAGGTCAGCAGTTTGAGACCAGCCTGGCCAACATGGTGAAACCCTGTCTCTACTAAAAATACAAAAATTAGCCAGGTGTGGTGGCATGAGCCTGTCATCGCAGCCACTTGGGAGGCTGAGGCAGGAGAATCGCTTGAACCTGGGAGGCAGAGGTTGCAGTGAGCTGAGACCATGCCATTGTAATCCAGCCTGGGCAACGGAGCAAGACTCCATCTCAAAAAACAAACAAACAAAAAAGCAAAAAGAAACAGGTGAGATTCATTTTGATAAAATAGCTGATTTAACTTAATATACCTAAAACATCATAATTTTAACATAATCAATATAAACATTTTTTGCAAGATGTTATGTTATTTTTTACCATACAGAGTCTTGGAAATCTTGGCTTGGACCAGCCATGTTCAACTGCTTAGTAGCCATGTGTGGCCAGAGGCGGCCATATTGGACAGTGCAGATGTAGCATGAGGGCGTTCAGGCAGTGTGAACAGCCAGTGCGGAAGCCCTGTGGGGGGCACATGCCTGCTGCTACGGGAACAGTGAGGAGCCTGGTGTGGCTGCAATGGAGTGAGAGGGAGAAGGCGGGAGATATTAACCAACAGTCCCATTCATTCATTAAATACTTTTTTCTTTTCTTTTTTTGAGACTGAGTTTTACTCTTGTTACCCAAGCTGGAGTGCAATGGTGCCATCCCGGCTCACCGCAACCTCCGCCTCTTGAGTTCAAGCAATTCTTCTGCCTCAGCCTCCCAAGTAGCTGGGATTACAGGCATGCGCCACCACACCTGGCTAATTTTGTATTTTTAGTAGAGATGGGGTTTCTCTATGTTGGTCAGGCTGGTCTCGAACTCCTGACCTCAGGTGATCTGCCCGCCTTGGCCTCCCAAAGTGCTGTGATTACAGGCTTGAGCCACCATGCCTGGCCCATTAAATATATATATATAATTTTTTTTTTTTTCTTTGAGACAGTGTCTCGCTCTGTCGCCCAGACTGGAGTGCAGTGATGCGATCCCAGCTCATTGCAGCCTCCGCCTCCTAGATACAAGCAATTCTCCTGCCTCAGTCTCCCGAGTAGCTGCGACTGTAGGTGCCTGCCACCATACCTGGCTAATTTTTGTTTTGTTTTGTTTTGAGACAGTTTTTGCTCTGTTGCCTGGGCTGGAGTGCAGTGGTGTGATCTCAGCTCACTGCCACCTCCTGGGTTCAAGCGATTCTCCTGCCTCAGCTTCCTGAGTAACTAAGATTACCAGCTCACACCACCATGCCTGGCTAATTTTTGTGTTTTTAGTAGAGATGGGCTTTCATCCTGTTGGCCAGGCTGGTCTCGAACTCCTGACCTCAAGTGATCTGCCCACCTCAGCCTCCCAAAGTGCTGGGATTACAGGCGTGAGCCACCGTGCCCGGGCAATATTTGTTTTTTCAGTAGAGACAAGGTTTTACCATGTTGGCCAGGCTGGCCTTGAACTCCTGACTTCAAGTGATCTGCCCCACCTCGGCCTCTCAAAGTGCTGGGATTATAGGCTTGAGTCACAGCGCCTGGCCCATTCATTAAATAATTTTTGAGCACCTGCTGCGCCTTCTCCCTCTCACTCCATTGCAGCCACACCAGGCTCCTCACTGTTCCCGTAGCAGCAGGCATGTGCCCCCCACAGGGCTTCCGCACTGGCTGTTCACACTGCCTGAACGCCCTCATGCTACATCTGCACTGTCCAATATGGCCGCCTCTGGCCACACATGGCTACAGTTCTAGATGCCAGAGATATGACAGTGAATAAAACAAAACTCCTGCCCTCACGGAGTTCACATGTAACAGAGGAGATGGACAGGGGCAGATAAATGAGTGAAACACGGAATGTCAGCCGCTGGTTCCTGCTCGGGTGGATGCAGGGCGCGGTGGGCACAATGGGGGCTGGGAGCAGTGTTATGCGGCTGTCCTGGGAGGCCTCACTGAATGGTGACACCTGGGCAGAGGCCTGAAGGAGGGGAGGGAACAGCTGTCCCTCTGGCCCTGGGTCAGGTGAGGAGCTTTGAATTAGATGGGAAGTGTTTAAGTGGCACTGGGTTCTACGTGACTGAAGGTGGCCAGAAAATTCATCAGCTGACCTGGCGGTTCTGTGAGGATCTAGAAAGGCCGGGTCCACAGAGGTGGATGGAGACCATTTTCAGTTCCCCGCCCTCCTGATCTCAGGTCTTCAGTAGCCAGTCACAAGCAGATGTGGTGCTCCTCGTCCCCATGCTGTGTGTCATCAGGAATAGGGCGTTAATCTTGAGGGATTTAGGGCCAGTAGACCCTCTGACCCTGTCGCTCTTGTGGCCATCCTGTGGCGTGCCATCAGTGTCTCAAGGCACTCAGCTGACGCTGCAGACGCCACCGCTAGAGGCTGGGGGTGGCCTGTGGTGTCTGGCTTGCAAAGCTGTTTCAGAGAATGTGGTGCAAAGTGACCCGGTGCAAGTGACAGGAAAGACAGGCTGTCTCGCTTGAATTCCCCGGCACTTGGGGTAATCACAGGGCCTCCCTTGGGAGGCACAGGCAGGTGGGGTACCCAAGATCCCCCAAACACAGAAGTCCTGGCTTTTCCACAGCTCAGACCCCTCCCACCTCTCTCCTCTGCACAGCGTGTCCCCAGCTCTGCCCTGCGCCCCTCTCTTGCGGGCTCAAGGATGTCAAAACTCTTCCTCTCCCTCATTCCTGAGTCCTGCTCACCCCTCCTGGGGAGTTCGCTGACTGAGGCTTGTTTATCTTGCCCGAGTTTCCTGACTCAAGACTTTCTATTTCCAGCAGCCTGCGGCCCACCATGGCAGGACCACCCCTGTGTGTGTTAACACCATTAAAGTCCCCCATCCTTGCAGCACAGCGGGCTTCAGTGTGGGCAGGAGGCTGGATCCGCTGGACTCGGAGGGCTGCCCGGGCTGAGAAGATGGTTCATTTTTGTTTGATTTATTTTTATTTATTTATTTGTTTTGAGATGGAGTCTCACTCTGCCCTCCAGGTTGGAGTGCAGTGGCGTGATCTTGGCTCACTGCAACCTCCACCTTCCGGGTTCAAGTGATCCTCCCACCTCAGCCTCCTGAGTAGCTGGGATTACAGGCATGTGCCACCACACCCAATTAATTTTTGTATTTTTAGTAGAAACGGTGTTTCACCACGTTGGCCAGGCTGGTCTTGAACTCCTGACCTCAAGTGATCAGCCAGCCTTGGCCTTCCTAAGTGCTGGGATTACAGGCGTGAGCCACTGTGCCTGGCCTCGTTTTTGTTTTGGAAGGAAACAGGGCTAGAGCAGAGAGAATCTGAGCTGAGAAGCAGAAGAATGTTCTGTGAGCGCTTGCTGTGTGCCGGGGAAAGGCTCTGTAGACTTTCCATTATTTCATCCTTACCTGCTGAGGGCGGGGCCTCTGATCGTCCCCAGTGTGCAGATGGAGAAACTGAGGCTGGGCCCAGGAGGCTCCTGAGAGCCTGGGGGAAGCCTGGCTTTGATCGGAGGTGATGCTAAGTGCCTCACACACATTATCTCCCTGAGGGCTGGGGGCAGGTGCCCCCACTTTCCCTGTGGGGAAAACAAGGCTCAGAGAACTGCTGCTCAGGGTCACAGTGGGAGCCAGGAGGCACGGATGGCCCTGTGCTGGGCGTTCTCTGTGCCGGGCGGAGTTCTGATGCTTCACTGGGTGAAACACACCAGCCTCTTGGCAGCCTGAGGAGAGGCCGATGCTGTTGTTCCCCCATTTACAGATGGGGAAGCAGCGGCACGGCGAGGTGGGGCCACTTGTCCCTGGTGACAGAGCTGGGGCATCCTGGAATAAGACAGGGGCCTGCCCAGTACAGCCCTGAGCCCTACTTTAGGGCCACCTTTGATTTATGAGGCCAGCTTTTTTGTTGTTGTTTGGTTGGTTGGTTTTTGAGACGGAGTCTTGCTCTGTCACTCAGGCTAGAGTGTAATGGCACGATCTCAGCTCACTGCAACCTCCGCCTCCAGGGTTCAAGTGATTCTCTTGCCTCAGCCTCCCAAGTGGCTGGGATTACAGGTGCCCGCCACCACACCCAGCTAATTGTTGTATTTTTTAGTAGAGCCAGAGTTTCACCAGGTTTGCCAGGCTGGTCGCGAACTCCTGACCTCAGGTGATCCACCCACCTCGGCCTCCCAAAGTGCTGAGATTACAGGTGTGAGCCACCACACCTGGCCTTGTTTTTTTTTTTTTTGAGATGGAGTTTTACTCTGTCACCCAGGCTGGAGTGCAGTGGTGCGATCTCTACTCACTGTATCCTCCACCTCCTGGGTTCAAGCACTTCTCCTGCCTCAGCCTCCCAAGTAGCTGGGATTACAGGCACCCACCACCATGCCTGGATAATTTTTGTATTTTTAGTAGAGACGGGTTTTCACCATGGTGGCCAGGCTGCTCTCGAATTCCTGACCTCAGGTGATCTGCTTGAGTCCAGTTTTGTGACAGGCACTGCGGAAAGTCAGCAAAGGGAAAGAGTGGGGGCGGGTCAGACACATGACACAGACCACTAGCCACAGGACAGGAGGGCAAGGGAGTCCCCGGAAGTCCAGCATCAGCTTGGGCACCCAGAACCAGGGGATGTCTAGATGTCCGCTGTGGAGCACTCACAGATGGAGACAGTGTTCACCAGCTCTTTGGCCACCCTGGGAGATGGTTCCTGCCACTTTTCCTCTCCGTGGCCTCCCCTCTGCCCCTCCTCCCCTTTCCCTGCCTCTCCCAGCCCCTGCCCCATCTTTCTCCATCTCTCCCCTGCCTTCTGTCCCCTCTTCCTCTTCCACCTCCACCTTGACTTAAACAAAGGTAGCAGAAGAAGCTTCATCCTGTGATAGGCACAGGAGTCAGTGCGTGCCTGTGCCAGGGCAGAGGGACTCACTCACAGGTCACACTCTAGCGTGGAGGAGAGACGTCCACCACAATGGGTCAAAATGAGCTCCTAGAGCAAAGACCAAGCCAGGGAAGCGTCGGAGCGCTGGGGGGTGGGTTGTAAATAGCAGAGTGGGGAACTTGGTGACAGGAGTAGCCGGCACTTAGACAGTGTCTCCTGTGTGTCCGAGGAGGCAGGCACTGGCCATCTCCAACCTACAGATGGGGAAACCGAGGCCCTTGCCCACGGCCTCATGAGCAGAAAGCACAGCGCGTGGGTTTGAATCTGTCCATCTGGGTCACGAGGCCCATAGTGGGCAAGATGGAGGGGGTGGGAGCAGGAGGGCAGGCGGAAGGGCGGGCCGGGGCCCCAAGGGGTGAGGGCTGCGCCTGTCCTGGCACCCAGGAGCCGCAGCCCCGTGTCTCCGCTCCAGGGAAGATGCTGATCCTGGGCTCCATGTTCAGCCTGGTGGAGCCTGTGCTCACCATCGCGGCTGCGCTCAGCGTCCAGTCGCCCTTCACCCGCAGCGCCCAGAGCAGCCCAGAGTGCGCGGCAGCACGGCGGCCGCTGGAGAGCGACCAGGGTGACCCCTTCACACTCTTCAACGTCTTCAACGCCTGGGTGCAGGTGAGGCTGGTGGTGGGGCCCCTCTGTCTGTCACCCTGCTCAGGGCCAAGGCCTTCTGTGGCTGTGGCTCCTCCTCGTGTCCTACCCTGGGAGGACCACTGAGCCCTCCACCGACTGGGCCTGCCTGGGGAGGGCCACGTCTCCACCATCCATGGCCTCGGCTCGAGACAGCATGTGCCCAGGCCCGGGGCACAGAGGAGCCCGGATTTCTGGAGCACTGATGAAAACCTGTGCCATCTGGAGAAAGTCCAGGCTCATTGGGGGGGCATCTGGATATCCAGTATATGTCCCCTGAGTCCCCACCCTAATGCTGGCCCTGTACCGTAGTGCTGAGGATCCATCAGTGCCAAAACTACCCTGGCCCTGCCCTCCCGGGGCTCACAGCCCAGTGCGGGGAGACAGACCACTGATGTGACAGTGACAACCCAGAGAGGGCTGGAATGGGGAGTCCAAGGGGCTGGGAGAGCCCAGAGGGGTGTCGAACCCAGTGTGTGGGTAGTCTGGGAGGGCTTCCCATAGGAGGGGGCACTGGGGCTGAGACCTGGAAGCAGCAGAGCAGGTGTCCCTGAGGGATGCTTGTGTTGGGGTTCTGGGTGCTAGGTCAGCCCCTCCCTCCCTGAGCTGGCTGGGCCCTGACACCCTGGCATCTGCTCCTCCCCTCAGGTAAAATCTGAACGAAGCAGAAACTCTCGCAAGTGGTGCCGCCGCCGGGGCATAGAGGAGCATCGGCTGTACGAGATGGCCAACCTTCGGCGCCAGTTCAAGGTGAGGCTCAGGAGGAGGGGTAAGGCTGGCCCCGCCCAGGCAGATGCATGCAAGCACACTCCAGGGCACTGCCTCCCCTTCCCGGACAGCAGTCAGACCAGAGTCCCACCCTGCACCTACCTCCCCCACCACCCGGTGACCAGGTGTTGGGGCAGCCGGGCAGGGCAAAGGGAGCAGAAATCCAGGAGGGCTTCCTGGAGGGGTGGACGGAGTCAGTGGACATGCAGCATCCTCGGGAAGAGCTCGCCCTCCCGACCGGGGATGCTGAGCTGGCTGCATGGGCGTGGTGCTGGAGGCAGCCTATGGTTGTGGTTGGGGCCGGCACATCTGGAGCCAGACACCCCAGCCACAAACCTGGCTCTGCCATTTCTGACAGCGTGGCCCCGGGCATGTTATTGCTTGTCTCTGGGCCTCAGCTTCCCCTAGAAAAAAAGAGGATAAAAATAGCACCTGCCGGGCAGGCGTGGTGGCTCACACCTGTAATCCCAGCACTTTGGGAGGCTGAGGCGGGTGGATCACGAGGTCAGGAGTTCGTGATCATCCTGGCCAACATGGTGAAACCCCGTCTCTGCTAAAAATACAAAAATCAGCCAGGCATGGTGGCAGGTGCCTGTAATCCCAGCTACTTGGGAGGCTGAGGCAGGAGAGTTGCTTGAACCCAGGAGGCAGAGGTTGTGGTGAGCCAAGATTGAGCCATTGCACTCCAGCCTAGGCAAAAAAAAAAAAAAAAAAAGTTGGGTTTCTCCTGTGCCCACACAGTTCCGCAGCTTGTTTCATGGATACTCCGTGGATGTTCTCCATCTGAGTGCAGAAAGACCTGCTGTTAGGCCCTTTTCCGTGGTTGTATCCATGGATTGAGGATAGAATAAAAGAGTTCCTGGTGTCACCCGTTCTCTTTGGTTGGAGATGGGCAAGCGGAGGCCCAGAATAGGCAGTCACCCAGCCGACGCCTCCTGTGCAATTTCTGGGGTCCTGGTGTTGAGGACCACAGATGCCCTGACCACTCTCAGCATCGGTCCTGAGGTCTCTGGCTGCTAGAGTTCAGGCTTCACTGGTCCCCAGATGCTTTGAGAATCTAATGGAAAGTGTGAGCCCTTTGCACACACACATGCAAACACACAGACACAAACACACACATGCACACACAATCTCCTGTGTCCTCCATCGGCCAGGGCTCAGCAGGAAACAGAGGGTCCAACCAAATCAGGTCGCTTGAGGAATGTTGACAAGGTGTGGACACGGGGAGGGCATGGGGAGGGCAGGGGTCTCCGATTTTATGGGTCACAGTCAGCTGGAGGGTCTGCTGAGTCCAGATGCCCAGCCCCGCCCAGCCCCCTCCACTCTCCACTTGGTCGTTCTGGAATGAGGCCCAGGACTTGGCATTCCCACCAAGTTCCCAGATGCCCCAGGGCTACACTCAGAAGCGCTAGTGCAGGACGCCCACCAGGGCTGTGTGGGAAAGCAGGGCTCCTTGAGGGGCATCTGGATATCCAGTATATGTCCCCTGCCCCAGACCCGAGGGGCAGGTGGGGCAGTCACCAGAGCCTGGAGCCAGCTTTTGGAGAAGGCACTGGGCGCCCCTGCCTGCCTCCTCCTGCCCCTGGCCCCGGTGTTCCCTCTGCCGACAGTGAGGACAGCTCTCCCTCTGGAGCAGCGATCCGCGCCCAGCACCACGCGAGGGGCTGTCCTCATTCAGCCCCCTTTGGGCACTAGCAGCCCTGCCACCGGGAGGGTCCCCATTTCCATATGAGCCCAGAGCCCACTGAGTCTGCTCTGAGGCCCTCACCCCTGCCCACCTGCCCCCAGGAGCTGTTGGAGGACCACGGGCTGATGACTGGGGCCCAGGCCACGCAGGTGGCGGACAGCTACAGTCGGCTGCAGCAGCGCCGGGAGCGCCGGGCCCTGCACCAGCTGAAACGCCAGCACGAGGAGGGCGCGGGGCGCAGGCGCAAGGTGCTGCGGCTGCAGGAGGAGCAGGACGGCGGCTCCAGCGAGGAGGACCGGGCTGGCCCAGACCCCCCAGGGGCTGGCGATGGCGTGGACATCCAGGTGGGTGCCATGGGCTGTGGGGTGTGGGGGTAGGTGTGTGGGGTTTACCAAGGTGGGTCTTGACCTCTCCTGGGGGTTCCCAGGGGCCATGACCCTGTCCTCATTTCAGGAGCCGGGTTTCTGTGGATGGTGCTTGGCCCCAGGTATCTGCAGCGCCTGGGGGTCTGCGGATCATGGTAGCAGCTCCTCAGGTCCCCTAAGACTCTGCCTTCCCATGTTCCCCCCAGGATGTGAAGTTCAAGCTCCGACATGACCTGGCGCAGCTGCAGGCCGCTGCCAGCTCAGCCCAGGACCTGAGCCGCGAGCAGCTGGCTCTGCTGAAGCTGGTGCTGGGCCGGGGCCTGTACCCACAGCTGGCTGTCCCCGACGCCTTCAACAGCAGCCGAAAGGACTCAGACCAGGTGGGGCCTGTTCTGCCCCATCCTATGTTTCGTCCTCCAACACACGAACCCTGAGTGCCTGTCCTGAGTGCCCTGAGGTCCTCATCCCTGCCCACCTGCCCCCAGGAGCTGTTGGAGGACCACGGGGTGACTGAAACAACCCTGGTTCTGTCCCCATGGGGCTCACAGCCCAGTGGGAGGACAGACCTGTCCCCAGACAACCCAGAGTGGGCAGGGCTTGGGGAGCTGAGGACACTGTAGGAGCCCACAGGGGGCACCTGCCCCAGATTTGGAGGAGTCAAGGAGGGCTTCCTGGAGGAGGGGACCTGGGCCAGAGGGTGGAGGAGAGGCATCCTGGGCAGAGGAGAGAGCAGATAGGAGGGCCTGTGCTTCCTTTCCGTCCTCCACAGATTTTCCACACACAGGCCAAGCAGGGCGCCGTGCTGCACCCCACCTGCGTCTTTGCTGGCAGCCCCGAGGTGCTGCATGCACAGGAGCCAGAGGCCAGCAGCTGCGATGGAAGCCGAGGTACAGTGAGCCCAGGTGGAAGGAACCCCCATCCGGGATGTGAAGGGCGGGGATACCGTGAACTCCCGGGCCCCTCTGGCTGGGGCTCCCCCTGATCCTTCCCACACCGGTCCAGGCTGGTATTGACAGGGGCCCGCAGGAGCGGAGGTTCCAGGGCCAGGCCTCCCCGGGTAGCCTTGGGTGACTCACCCCTGCTGGGCCTTGCCCTCCCCATGGTGGTGATAGCCAACCTGAGCCAGTGTGGCTGTGCCCAGGGAGTGAACACCGGTCAAGGGCCTGTCCCGTGGGCTCTGTGGGCTCCCACCTGGGTCCTGCAGGGGGAGGCCCCCCCGGCGCCCGTGTGCATGGAAGGGTGTCTCGCTGCAGACATGGCTGCCTGCTGGGAGTCACACTTAGATTTGGCCAGGCCACCGAAGCCATGCTGTGAGCATATTCTTTCTACCAATGTGTACATTGACCGGGTGGCACAGGTGGGCCTCTGATGGGCCTGGGTGGGCCAGGGTGGGCCTGAGTGGTCCTCCTCAACTTTCAGACGACAAGGACAAGATGAGCAGCAAACACCAGCTCCTCAGCTTCGTGTCCCTGCTGGAGACCAACAAGCCATACCTGGTGAACTGCGTCCGCATCCCTGCCCTCCAGGTGGGCCTCTGCCCCACCCTGCCCCCATGCCCAGATATGAGAGCTGCGTTGCCCAGGGTGGTGGGTGGGGGCACCGCGTGGGCTTGGAGGGGCCGCCTGGCACCTGGGCTGGCCGCAGGCGTCCGCCTTGGGCCGTTGCTGTGGCCGCTTTTTCTCTCATTCATGGAGTTGCACAACAGTTACCTGCCGAGTGCCTGCTGGGTGCCAGGCGCGGTGCCAGGGGCGCAGCAGGGAACCAGGCAAGAAGGCCAGCCCCTGCCCTCCCAGGCTCCCGTGGCAGGGGACAGTGATAGCAGTAGCACAGTGACGCCCTGAGCGACCTGTGGGAAGGTGGTGCTGGGCAAGAGAGAGTAGGGTGGGGGTGAGGGTGGACACAGGGTGTGGCATAAGATAAGGCCACCTGGTGTCTCCAAGTAGACACCCAAGGAGGAGAGTGTGTGGATCTCGGGGCAGAATGTCCCAGGCAGTGGAGTGGCCTGCGCAGAGGCTCTGAGGCAGACACGTGCCTGGTGTGCAGTCGGCAAGGGGGAGTGTGCAGAGATGAGGCCAGAGAGGCGAGGGAGACGGGACCCTGGAAACTTCTGAGCAGAGCTGGGACAGGGTCCCAGCCAGGAGGGCTGGCAGCCGCCAGGAGGGAAAAGAAGGGCGCGGCCCGGGTGGAGGCTGAGGCCGAACTCAGATCGTGGATGCCCTTGCATGGGCGCTGGCAGCAGAACCATGGGTCCCACGGCAGCCGCTGCCCTGCCCCGAGTGCTCCTCGAGTGTCTCCGTGATCCAAGGCCTGGCCTTGGAGTCCTCACGCAGCCCTGCAGGTCTCCCTTTATAGAGGGGACTGAAGCTCAGGCAGGGGTGGGGACACGTCACCTATCTAAGTCACACAGCGAGCAGGTGGCCAAACCAGAGCTCCCGGGTCACGCTGCCCCCTCCTGCCTCCTGCTCACTACCAGCACTGCCCAGCGTGGGTCCCAGAGAACATGGAGGGAAGAGAGGAACCTGCGGGCTCCCAGAGCCTCAGGGTTTCGTTGATACTGTGATTGCCACCAGCACCACGAAAGCCAGCTCAGCTCAGTCACCTCTGTGCATGTCCACACCTCCCTCCAGCCCGCCTGGTGGGCCAGGCGCTGTTAGTGTTCTGGGGGCCGGGGGTGCAGCTGTGGTCAACGTCGACCACACTCCCCACCCTCATGGGGCTCAGACAGGATGGTGGAGGCAGACGGTAAACCAAAAGGGTGATGCCAGGCGCTCGTGTGAGCATGGGAAAGCAGGCAGCACGCACCGAGGGACAGAGGGTTGGCAACCAGCCGGATCGCAGGAAGCGGAACAGACCTGCTACCTGAGGCGCTGCGCTCTCTGCCTGCACTGGACCGCTTGTTGAGAGAATCTGGCCGGCTCACACCTAGAATCCCAGCACTTTGGGAGGCTGAGCTGGGAGGATCGTTTGAGCCTAGGAGTTCAAAGGGCAGCCTAGGCAACATAGGGAGACACTCTCTCTACAAAAAATTTTTAAAAGTTAGCTGGGCGTGGTGGTGTGCGCCTGTAATCCCAGCTACTTGGGAGGCTGAGGCAGAAGGATCGCTTGAGCCTGGGAGGTCGGGGCTGCAGTGAGCTGTGATTGTTGACACTGCACTCCAGCTTAGGTGACAGAGTGAGACCCTGTCTCAAAAAATAATAAGCCAGGCGTGGTGGCTCATGCCTCTAATCCCAGCACTTTGGGAGGTCGAGGTGGGTGGATCAGTTGAAGCCAGGAGTTTGGCACTAGCCTGGCCAATGTGGGGAAACCCCATCTCTACTAAAAATACAAAAATTAGCTGAGTGTGGTGGTGGGCGCCTGTAATCCCAGCGACTCGGGAGGCTGAGGCAGGAGAATCGCTTGAACCTGGAAGGTGGAGGTTGCAGTGAGCCAGGATCGCACCACTGCACTCCAGCCTGGGTGACAGAGCGAGACTCATTTCAAATAAATAAATAAAAATAATAATAACAAAAAGAAGATGGAGACACTTCACATTCACATAAGCAAGCAGAACAGTATATGGAGCCCTCCTGTACCATCCCTGGCCCCCAAACCATCCACGCATGGCCAGTCCTGCCCTTTCCTCTGCCCTGGCCCCAGCCCCGAGAATTTTCTCCAACACCGAATGAGCCACAGCACCAGTAATTGCAGCCCTGACTTCCGTCCTCACAGAGGAGCGTGTGCTCAGGGTCTGGGCTCTCGCTGCATGTCATGTGTGTCTGAGTGCCTGCTGTACCTCTGCCACCCTGCCTGAGAATGCAGCTGTCTCTCTCCCAGCACGCTCCCATCTGCCCCCCGCCACCCTGCAACCCCAGCCCCCTCCCCTGACTCAGCAGCTGCCTTCATGCCGTATCCCCAGTGCCCGCAGGGGTGTCTGGTACAGCGGGTAGATGGTGGGTAGGTGGATGCCTCGCATAGACAGGGCGGGTGGGTGGGCAGGAGCCCAGCCAGGCAGGGCCTGTCTCCAACATCGCCCTGCCCCCACACCTACTCCCTGTCTTCTGCTCCCTCTCTTCCAGTCCCTCCTGCTTTTTAGCCGGTCCTTGGACACCAACGGTGACTGCTCCCGCCTGGTGGCCGATGGCTGGCTGGAGCTGCAGCTGGCAGACAGTGAAAGTGCTGTCCGGCTCCTGGCGGCTTCCCTGCGGCTCCGTGCCCGCTGGGAAGGTGCCCTGGACCGGCAGCTGGCGCATCAGGCCCAGCGGCGGCTGGAAGAGGAGGAGCAGGATGTGCCAGTCAGCCCCAAGGAGGTGGCCACCCTGAGCAAGGAACTCCTGCAGTTCACGGCATCCAAGGTACCTTCCACCAGGGTGCCCGTGCCTGCCTATGGCCAGAGGGGGTGTCCGCCACTGGGCTTGAGCCTCCGGAAGGCCTGGCTTCCCATTCACTCCACTGGGCACATTTGGGGGTTTTCAGGCCACAGAGGTTCAGTCACTCACCCAAGGTCACTCCACTGGTCTGGGTGGAGCCAGGATTTGATCCCAGGAGCCTGGTTCCAGAGGCCATGCTACCCACTGCTGCCCTGTTTACTAAGCACGTTCTGCAAGCGTGGCTGATCCCCCCTTGCTAACAGTCAAGAACGGACAAGGTGTGAGAGGGAAGCCATAGGTGTCTGCTTTTGGATGGGAAGAACCGAACTGAGCAGACTTGAAACCAACCACCAACTCTTAGGTGGGGAGCGGAAATTGCTCCTGGTTCTACTTCATGTGGGTGGGGTGAGGAGAAGGGTGCAATTCAGGCTGATTTCCTGGAGTAGAGGGGCTTGAGGACAAAGGGGCAGGAACCCAGTGAGCCATGGAGAGGGGACCAAGGCTGACATGCTAGGAGGAGGAGGAGGGGTGAGGCGGCCAGACTTAAAGGTTAGACTCAAGGTCTGAATGGGGTCCCACCAGTGACAGGGGCAGAAGAGGGGTCTGGGGAAGGCAATTTAGATGGGGGTGGGTTATCAGGATATTCTAGACAAACCCCTGGTCATGCGTGTCTGCAGCCAAGTTGTGATTGGCTTAAGCACTTGGCTTTCATAACTGCAAAGCCCGAGGGAGGGCTTCAGGCACAGCTGGATCCAGGTGCTTTGGCGGCATCTCCCTGAGCCTCTCTCTCTCGATTTCCTGTCTCTCCTTCCTTAGATTCCTTACAGCCTCCGGCGGCTCACGGGGCTAGAAGCCCAGAACCTGTATGTGGGACCCCAGACCATCCCAGCCACCCCCCATCTTCCTGGCCTCTTTGGCAGCTCCACCCTGTCCCCCCACCCCACAAAGGGGGGCTATGCAGTCACCGACTTCCTCACCTACAACTGCCTCACGGTGAGCATGAACCCTTCTTCCCTGAAGGTGGGATTTCAAGAAGACCCCACCCCTGACCCCACGGCCTCATTTCGCCTTAGTCCAGGGACGTGATTCCCACGTGGGGCCCATGGCCCTGAGGGCTTCTGGGAAGGGTCCCAGGGGGGCACTGGGTGGTGGGTGGCACTTGGTGGGGGCCCAGCCCTGACAGCTGGCCTGCCGCAGAGTGACACGGACCTGTACAGTGACTGTCTCCGAACCTTCTGGACCTGCCCCCACTGTGGCCTGCATGCGCCCCTCACGCCCCTGGAGCGCATCGCCCACGAGAACAGCTGCCCTCAGGCCCCCCAGGATGGGCCCCCAGGTAAGCACGGGACTGTGGGGACCGGGCCACCTCTGCCCGGCCGTCTGTCCATCCCATGATGATCTCTGTGTGTGCGGGCACTTGCTAGATGCTCCGAGAACTGATGACCCCCACCTGCTGGCCCTGGCTGGTGCCACACACAGGCTTTGACCTGAAGATCAGCGGCCCAGGGCGGGGAGGGCCTGGAGCGCCACCTCTTTCTGCCTGCCTGTCCCCTGTGGTGTCTCTATGTTGCTGTCTTTGTCTCTTCGTTTCTGTCTCTCTGTGGCTATGTCTCTTGTTCTTTTTCCCTGTCCTGCAGCTGTCTCTGCCTTGGTCATATCCATCCTGTTGTCATCCAGGGATGCTACACTGGGGTTCAGTGGGGGAGACAGCACTGGGACCATGTGCCCCCACCCCAGGGCTGGCTCTGTCTGCCTCTCAGTCTCCATGTTGCTCCTTATATCTTTCTCTTTGTCTCTCTCACTAGCAGGGATGCAGAGTAAAGACAGGCCTGTGTATTTTTGTTTGTTTGTTTGTTTTTTTGAGATGGAGTCTTGCTCTGTCGCCCAGGCTGGAGTGCAGTGGCCGGATCTCAGCTCGCTGCAAGCTCCGCCTCCCGGGTTTACGCCATTCTCCTGCCTCAGCCTCCCGAGTAGCTGGGACTACAGGCGCCCGCCACCTCGCCTGGCTAGTTTTTTGTATTTTTTAGTAGAGATGGGGTTTCACCATGTTAGCCAGGATGGTCTCTATCTCCTGACCTCGTGGTCCGCCTGTCTCGGCCTCCCAAAGGCCTGTGTATTTTTATTAATCCAGGAAGGCTTCCTGGAGGAGGCAAAACTTAGTTCCCCAAAGGCCAGGAGAGAACCTGAGCCCCACGGGTGCCTGGCATTTGGGTGCGGGTAGACATGTGCACTGGAAAGCCCCCCTCACAGCCTCCTCCTTTTCCTCCCTTAGGGGCTGAGGAAGCTGCCCCCGAGACCCTCCAGAAGACGTCTGTCCTGCAGAGGCCCTTCCACTGTGAGGCCTGCGGGAGGGACTTCCTGTTCACACCCACAGAGGTGCTGCGCCACCGGAAGCAACACGTGTGAGCCGGGCCAGGAGCCCTGCCCAGCTCCCTGCAGCCTACCTGCCCTCCAGCCCAGGACTAGGGGCAGGACCCCCAGCCTGGGTTTAGCCCTGTGGTCCTGTCCCAGTGCGGAGGGGCTGGAGCGTCGATTGTGAATAAAGCCTCACATGCTGACACACACTGTTAAGCCTGCACCTACCCATCCAAAAACCAGCAGCTGCTCCGTTAGTCCTCCCCAGGGTCTAGCTTTCCTTCTTCCTGCTGCAGGGTGCTGCCTGAGGCGTCCTGGGTAGGAGGGGCATTAGAGCCAGCAGGGACCTCCCATGTCTCCTGGTTCCAGGTGCAGGTTCTTAGCACCTCCGCAGCCACTCTCTCGAGTCCATCCTCAGTCTCTGCTTCCCCTTGAAGTAGGGGGACCCTGAATTTGCCCGTCCACCTGGGTCACTTTGAGAGTTGTGCAGGGGGCTGGGGGCACTGGTGTTCACGTAGGACTACAGGCTGCACCATAAGACCCATTCCCAATAAAAAAGAAAAGAACAGGCCGAGCCGGGCGCGGTGGCTCACGCCTGTAATCCCAGCACTTTGGGAGGCTGAGGCAGGTGGATCGCCTGAGGTCAGGAGTTCGAGACCAGCCTGGCCAACATAGTGAAACCCTATCTCTACTAAAAATACAAAAACTTAGTTGGACGTGGTGGCAGGCACCTTTAATCCCAGCTACTCAGGAGGCTGAGGCAGGGGAATCGCTTGAACCCGGGAGGTGGAAGTTGCAGTGAGCCGAGATCACGCCACTACACTCCAGCCTGGGCAACAAGAGTGAAACTCCATCTCAAAAAAAAAAAAAAATTCAGGCCGAGGCAGGTGGATTGCCTGAGCTCAGGAGTTTGAGACCAGCCTGGGCAACATGGTGAAATCCCGTCTCTACTAAAATACAAAAAATTAGCCAGGTGTGGCAGCATGTGCCTGTAATCCCAGCTACTCGGGAGGCTGAGGCAGGCAAATTGCTAGAACCCAGGAGGCGGAGCTTGCAGTGAGCCGAGATCGTGCCACTGCACTCCAGCCTGGGCAACAGAGCGAGACTCCATCTCTAAAAAAAAAAGAAAATGAAAAGACAATAAAATCACTCAGGAGAAAAAGAAAAACAAGGCATGGCATAGGAATGGAAGGAGAACAACCTGTAGGTCCTACAGATACAAAAAGGAGAAGGGAATACGATAAACAATGTGCTGCACAGAAATTCCACTCATTTGAAATGGAAAAAATTATTGAAAGACACAAACTACCCAAAGCTCATTCAGGAAGAAACAGATAACCAGAACAACTCTATTAAGGAAATGTAATTCATAATTAACAAAGAGAACAGGCTCAGACGGGCTTATTGGTGACGTCTACCAAACATGGAAATTACACTCGCCCACACCCACTCATCCACAACATCGGGGAGGATGCCTCCTGACTGATGTTATGGGGCCAGCATTATCCTGTTGCTAAAACCAGGCTCTGACAATGCAAGAAAAGAAAACTCTAGGCCAATATGCCTTATGAACATAGACACAAAAACCCTAAATAGAAGTTCAGCACATCATATTCAGCAATGTGTAAATACGGTGCATCATGGCCAAGTGGGGCTCATTCTAGGAATTCAAGGTGGATTTAACATTTGAAAATCAATGTGATTCACCATATTAGAAACAAAAAAATAAAAGGCTGGGCATAGTGGTTCATACCTGTAATTCCAGCACTTTGGGAGGCCCATAAGGGTGGATCAGTTGAGTCCAGGAGTTTGAGACCGGATGGGAAACATAGCGAGACCCTGTCTGTATTTAAAAACACAAAAATTAGCCAGGTGTGGTGGTGCACGCCTGTAGCCCCAGCTGCTCGGGAGGCTGAGGTGGGAAGATCACTTGGTGTTAGGAGGCGGAGATTGCAGTGAGCTGAGATTGTGCCACTGCACTCCAGCCTGCACAACACAGCAAGACCCTATCTCAAAGAAAAAAAGTACATAAACCCCTAGTTTTAGTCAGGGAGATGGATTTGAGACTGATCTCTCTCCTTGGCTGCGCATCTGATTAAAGCCTTCTTCCTTGGCAATACTCATCTTAGTGACTGGCTTTCTGTGCGACCAGCAGCAGGACCTGGACTGAACCCCTGGTATTTCAGTAACAGATTCATTCAACAATTTTTTTTTTTTTTTTTTTTTTGAGACAGGGTCTCTCTCTCTATTGCCGGTGCTGGAGTGCAGTGGTGCAATCTCAGCTCAGTGCAGCCTCCACCTCCTGGGCTCAAATGATCCAAATCAGTCTCCCAAGTGCCTGGAACTACAGGCGTGTGCCACCACGCCCGGCTAATTTTTGTATTTTTTGTAGAGATGGGGTCTCACCATGTTGCCCAGGCTGGTCTTGAACTGGGCTTAAGCGATCCTCCCACATTGGCCTCCCAAACTGCTGGGATTACAGGCGTCAGCCGCTGCTCCTGGACAAGAGAAGTGTTGTATTTTGGTGGAATTTCAAATTATCATTTTCTTTTATCATTTCTACTTTTTGTGTTCTACCTAACAAATCTTTGCCTACCCTCAAGATCATGAAGTTTTTTTCTTATGTCTTCTTCTAGTTTAATCATTTTACATTTTTAATATAAACTGTTAGGTCTATGGTCCATTTCCAGTTAGGCGTTGTGTATGATGTGAGTTAATGCTCATGGCTCATTTTTCTGCATATGGATGTCTAATGGTTCTAGAACCATTTTTTGAAAAGAATATTCATTTCCCCATTGAATTAATTTGACACCTTTACTGAAAATCAGTTGACTAGGCCGTGCGCGGTGGCTCATGCCAGTAATCTTAGCACTTTGGGAGGCTGAGGCAGGAAGATCACTTGAGGTCGGGAGGTGGAAGTTGCAGTGAGCCGAGATCACGCCACTACACTCCAGCCTGGGCAACAAGAGTGAAACTCCATCTCAAAAAAAAAAAAAAAATTCAGGCCGAGGCAGGTGGATTGCCTGAGCTCAGGAGTTTGAGACCAGCCTGGGCAACATGGTGAAATCCCGTCTCTACT